CCCGCCGGCATTAAACACCATTTCCTGCGTATGCCGTGGAATATATAGTTTCGAGACAACGACTACGGAGGGAGGGCGAACAGATCGGAGAGTACGCGCCGGGCACCAAGCATCGACGGATCCCGGTTCACCGGGGTTTGGGGACGGATTCTGATTCTACATTGAATTATCACCCTCGCTCGTGGCTGAACAAGCGGGGAGGAAGGGACGGCAGTCGTGAGAGCTAACAGGATGATGATTAGGTACAGGTGCAGCCAACGAGGCGACTCGATTTATCGTTACTCCGCGTTCGATGATGTTTACCGAGTACCGACTATGTATCCTTGGTGTGTATATTCAAGCCATAGGCTTCTCTCGAAACTGTTTATCATTCGCGGTATGTGTTTTTCGAATAATTTTGGACGAACGGGAGGATTCGATTTAGTGGAAATTAATTTTTTTTTTTGGATTGTATTCATTGGTGTAGAATGTTTGACATAGAATTACAGATATTGTTATATGATCAGGCAATATCATGTTTTGCCTGCGCTGTTCCGATTATACGTAAATAGTTTAGTATTTCGTAGTAATATACACACGAATGGTTAAATAGTTTATTCATTTGTTCGATAGTGTGAATTTTAGAAAATTAAACGTGTTGTAAAATTGTGTAGTCAATGAATTAGATTCTCTGACACGTTTTTATCGAAATTCTGTCTTCCTTAATAATTAGGAGGTAGTACATGTATTCTGCTACTTTTTACGTAAACTTTGATTATAATTTAATTATGCATTATTGACTTTTTTCATACTAGAGTTCATTAAAATATCTTCAACAAATGACTTGAAATATTACCTAAAAATATATATATATATATGTGTGTCTATATTTTAAGCTCTTGTCAAAGAACAAAAACGCGAATGCAATTCGATGTGAAAATTCTATTTCTACCATTCAGCCATGTCGATGTTCTACATACAAAGAAACGAAGCGATTGATTAAATGGTACACGCAATAAAATAAAAAAAACTCTATAACTCGTTTAGTATAACAGATATACAATTTATTTACAGTCTCACGCGAGTACAAAATAACAATGATTTGTATGACGGACGCAAATGTGAGGACAAAGCGTCGAAGAGGATTGATATCGATTGCAACGCGCGAAAAATAAATTAAACGCTTAGAAGAATTCTTCTCGTCTTGATCGTCGCATTTCTTTCTCTCGCTCTAAATAAATAATTAGTTAATCCTACAGAGAAGTATGTATATTACAGTGCCCGGGTACAATTAGATACAATGACCCGCGGCTTCTTTCTATGCGCACGCGCGCGTACGCGTTAACCCAACTCCTTAATTACTCTTATCGCGTTAAACTCTTCTAATCGGCGTTTACAGTACAGAGAAGGACGTTAATACGATTTGATTCGTTGAGGTAGATAATTTAATCAGTCTATGAAGCTGCTTTGTCGGTCGGTTTGCTCGTTATTGGCATCAATTCGCAAAATTCGGTTCCGGCGCATTCTATTGAGTCGAGCTGAACGTTAACTTCCAGTTGAGCCCTAGCTGGACATTGAATGCGGCACGACCATAAGCCGGCAGTATTAATACTGAGCGTCTCCAGTTCGAACTTCTTCGGTATACGTGTAACTGTCGGAAATTGTATTACTTAGTTCGTTCGAGCTTTCACAAAAGTTCTTCGATCTTGATCAGTCTATCAATAGTATACAAACAACTTTACTTAATTTATCATACCAGAAACTACAATTCGAAAGATCATTCTGCGAATATGTTGCTTTCTATCTGACCAGGTACAAACGTTGAAGAGGGAAGGATGTTTTGGTAAATTGAACGTCAAGCCTCATGGCTGATCAGCGATTGCGTCACCGCGAAGGCGAGTGAATTAATTCGTAACATGATTATATGCCCGTTTACTTTACCTACAACCTATCAAATAAATTAAATTACTCGGCTACTCGCGAGGTTGGTGTGAATTACACGCTTCACACGCAAGAACGAACGACGAAAATTGTTTAAAGAAATTGTCGTTGAATTGAGTAACTTGCTGGAAGATGAATTCGACCATAAAATATAATCGACTCGATTCCTCTAACGAAAATTCTAGGTATTTCATGGAAACTCTAACGAATACATATGTACAATTTAATGATTTCAAATTTAATGATGTCAAAATTGTTTCAAGAGTCTGAAAAAATTCAAACAAAAAACTATGCTCTCCTCTAGAGACGCATTAAATGCCTTGTTTCCTTTCAGTCTCTTCTTTTCTAAAAAAGATTCCCAAGGAAATATTCATCTTTATCGAACAATGAAAGAAAATGACGGTCGATGAAAGTACAAATTAAAGTCTTATTTTTTTCTCCATCAACATCGTCATTTTCTATTGTTCTTCTTATGGAATGTATCTTCTTAATGCGACGAGTTAGTTCGCTCGTTGCGTAAGAAGATTTAACAGTTCGTCGTGATCCATACTGTTCAACGTTTGTATATCGATACCCAACGCGTTCGCCACGCTCTTCATATCGAGGCCGAAGCTCTTCAACAGTTCGATGAAGTCCATTTCCTCGCCGGTGAACGGGTTGTGCAGCTTTGGGCAGCTGTGATTACACTGCGGCCAAGTGCAACGTTCGATTAACCGGAAGTGGCAGCCCTGGACACACTTCCGTTTGCCAGATGGTATCACCGAGCGCTGCGGTCTGGTACCGTTGAACATGCCTGTATGGTTGCTGTCGTTGTTCTGCTTGTTACCCTTCCGACGACCTAGAATTTCAACGAATTTCAGATGATCCATTTCTTCAAATATGTACATTCTTCGACGAATACGATAAAAGAAATAGATAACGGAGAAAATGTAAAGCGTGTTCGGATTAAATAATCTGAAAACATTTTCACGTAAGAAGCTAATATGTTTGGGAGAGATATGTTAATAATTTTGTTCAAACATAGAATTTTTACCCCATAAAAAATTAATTTGTTAGCAGGGTTTTGTCAATAAAGTAGTGGCAAAGTGATTTTGTAGATTGAAAAATGTTACCCGTTCTAATTAAAGTAGCATGGATTGCAAAAATAAATATCTCAACGATTGTAAAGAACTACAGGACGAGGTTACTTCAAAATAATTATTAAAAGGATTATGCAGAAGTTATAAAAAGTTATAAAACCAAAAGAAATATCAAAGATATAATCTAATATTTTGCATCCATAATTTCTCACTTAGTAATTCTTATCTATTCATCTAGACACGGAATCATAATTGTATTCATATTTGATGTATATGTATATATTATATAATAATTTACCTGTAGATTTTCTGCGCTCATGTTTCTCCTTCTTCATCTTCGATATCTTATTTCTGTCCCTGCGTTTGCCTTTGTGCTTCCGTCTCTTCCTCTTTTTGTTCTCCCTGTCCTGCATCAGGGCGTTAGACGAAATCTTCCTCTCGATCGATTTACCGATCATCGACGATCTGACTTTTTGCAACTCCGCCATGAAGTCGCTCTTTCCGCTTCTTCCCGGTTCAAACGAAGTTCCGTTTCCCTTCGTCAGACCGGATCGCAGTAGCTTCCGCAATGACTTCGCGCACGGCTGGTTCGTCTCAATTGGCGAACGAGTGCTGTAATTAACAGGGACGAAGTCAGTTCGCTGCCAGTTTCGCGTTGAAGTAAGTGAAACGGCGGAAAATGAAAGAAGAAGCGTTTTGTGTAACTTTTGTTAGAAAGTACAATATACAACAACCTGGCTTTTGTTGTTCAGTATTTTGTAATATGATGATGTAAATTACAACATGTATTACACAACTCGACTTTTGTTTATTAATTTAAAATTGTTATATGGAATAGGATTTATGAATAAGTAGAAAAAGATGAAAAAATATGCAGGATATACATAAGTTAAATGCAAGATAAAAAATATACAAATTAAAATACACTGTTCAGAATTACTACAAGGTCGTTTACTTTAATTTTCAGTGTCTATATATTCTATTTTTGATAATTGTTTTAAAGACAATTTTTATTACAATTTCATCTCATTTTAATAACATGCCAATCTCCTTTTCTGTCAAGCTGATAGGACTCCTTTACTTTTGTTTGCTTAATTAATACACTAAAATCGTTCGTAATAGCGACCTCTTAATTATTCTACATAATGTTAAAAGATGAAGCAAACCTTGAATGTGTGTATTCATAAAAATATTCATAAAAATAACTTACATAAACATATACAATCAAATAATATAGTACAATTTAATTTATACAGAATACTTCGTTACTTTTTGTATTTTGTATTCTTGGAAAAATTAGTTTTGCAAAAAGACTTGATACTCACTCGTTTCGACGGTTTCCAATCGGTATTTGCTCCCAACAGTGCAACGCCTGTGCCAAGGAAATCTCATCTATTTTCACCAACTGCCAATCTCTTTTCGTCAGAACGCTATGACTAATACAACTCGGGGCAAAGACCGCGCTAACGTTTTCAAATGTCTGTCGCAGACTGTCACCCATCTTGTGTATATAATCCCATTGTTGCTTAGTCACCGGTGCACCCACGTTATCCGCCGACATCTGCGCCTCATCAAACAGCCATTGGAAGACGAACAGCGGCGCTACGAATTTGAAAATGAAAAATAAACATTTTCATCTATTAATTATTTTACACCGAAATTTTGTCGTATATTTTATATTAAGTTTGACGCGCAACTTCTTCCCTCTGAAGGTCTCAACATGACAAATTTGGAAGAAAAAAGGCCTTTGAATTTTTGAGAACAAATATTTTTCTCACTCAATTGGTTTGCAGTGAAATTTGCTTAATGATTAGCCTTTTTGTCAAATATTTTATATTATACTCGAAACAAGCATCGCGTCTTCGTCTTAGAATCGTCGATTCAGCAAATTTAAAGGAAAATACAGTTCGATCTGAAATGGTCCTCTGAGACGGCGAAATAATAAAATATACTAAATAGAATAAACAGGTAAAATGGAAGTTGCTTTACCAGTCAACGTTGGATATAGTCTGTAGCCAAAGTAGCACCTCCACGGTTCGTTTGGGTACTTATTGACACAATTGTGCGGCATTCGAGCCTTCCAAAGTTCCATCCCCTTGTGAACAACGTCAACTGGTGACAAACCGTTTGGTGAATAGGGAGCCCTGTCGAGAAACCAGCCCGAATCCGACACACCTCTTATCGCGATATGTTTCAATCCTGCGATTCGTCGTAGTAAACATTTAAATAAAAAATTTCAATTAACGCATATAAATAATATTTAATATTTTTATTCGCAAATTTAATGATCTAATAGATCTTTCAAATCAACATGGACCCGTATTTATTATAATATTGCATGAAGTTCTAAAAAATAGAAAAGAAAAAATGTAACTCACCCAGATTGTGATGAACTAAGCTGTGCACGTGATTCAAATTCAACATGACACCGGTTCCACCAGCGCTACTACCAGCCAAGAGAAGGGAGCTTGCATTCTCAAGTCCAAGAGGAATTAGATCCCGCACCACTTGCAGTACAATCTCTGCACCCATGAAGGAAAACATGTCATTCGGTAAAGCTCTAGTACCGCTCCAACTGTCACTCGTGCAATAAGGGACGAATCTAGAGATACAAGGAAATCTAGTTATGAAAATTTGATGATTACGTATCTTCAAAAATCGTTCAATATCGTAAGAAAATTTTAATCCATTTGAGAACAAAAATATGGTCAAGATGGACAATACCTACACGTGATTCGCATTCCACCAGTACGGATTCTCTTCCGGATTAGCTGATAACAAGCCACCAACTGCAACAAATTAAAGAAATTTTTCTGTTATAGTTCTTAAAATTTTATAACTTTGATTTTAATTTTTCTTCTATCCATAAGTACACGAACGATCTGAAAAAGAACGCCCTCTTACTTATTCGAACCTCTCTCCCATTTTAACTATATCCACTGAACCTTATTGTGTGTTGCTCGAGAGAAATCGAACCCCCCGAGCAATGCGACATGTTGTCACGTGTCGCGAAACTCGTTAAACAGCCGACAGACAGCAGGGAGAAGATTGCGGAACGGCGCGGCGTTCCATTGCAAACGTTAGAAAGTGTCGAGTTAGGTGAACATACGACTTTCCAACGGAAGCTACTCACCGTCGCGTGTCTCAGGCCACTGAGTCGACGTCATCAGATGCCTCAGCCTGAGCCACCTGTTTCTGCAGCTCTTATGGTCGTAGCAGTACCAGCCACCTTCTAAAAAGATGATCCACCTCTTGGAACCATGCGACTTTCTCAGGTAAAACCCTGACTGGGATCCGTCGTTGCATGTGATCGACCTGTTGCTGAGGTAAACCCTCTTTAGGCCTCTCTGCTCTTCTAAACCGTATTTCTCCAAAATCTTGATTAATTTCTGGATCGTGTTGCTCTGGATCGTTGCCGTGCTAGAAGACACGGAAACGGTGTTCGTCGGTTTCTCTTCGGCGGCTATCGTCAGCATAAGAGCCGTTAGGCACACTGAGATCTGAAATCGATGGGAAATATTCGTGGTACAATACTTTCACTACGCGTAGCTATGTTTTAAACAAATCTTGCTACTTGATGTAATTTTTTACATTGCTGAAGTTTGTGAAAGAATTTGTGGATTATGAGAGCGTAAGTTTGTGCAGTTGATGGGTTTGCTGCTTTGGTGTTAACACGGTACTTTTTTAGAGTATACATAACCAATTACAAGTTCAAGCATATGCTGGTTTTCTCCAAACGAGCTTTGGAAATTTTTGGGAAAAATATTTCTATGTATCGATGGCTTTATCTTTTTCGGTAATTTCCATTTGGAAAGTCCTATATCATGTTTGATCCGCTTAGAAGTTAGCTGGAGCAACTCCTTGTCCCAAAATTTTCTTAATTTTAGTACAGCAATACGCGATAAGTATTCAATTTGTGAATTTAACATTTTAACATTTTTTAAAGTTAAAAAGGAATCTAATTCCCAAGTTATTGATTTCAATGGAATTGATTAGTTTCACTGAATTATCCTGCAACAAAATGAACCCAACTATGAAAATTAAATATATTTTACTTATTTATTCTCATTGGTGCACTTCATATAGCAAATTTGATTTTAAAACGGGAAGGTTACTAGTAGAATTAATTAGTTAAAACACAGTAGTACAAAATTTTCATTATCGAAAATAAAATAGAGTCACGTAATTTATAAAAAGCTCTTTTCTGGACTGAACAATTTTAAATTTTATTCCTAACACGTTTATGCTGAAAAAATTCCAATCTCGAGCACGTGGTCGGAAATCAAATTAACAAGATAAAGGACGAGAATCCCGTTTCGCGAGACCGCGTTATAAACTGGAAACTCCGGCTGAGTACGTTAATCACCGCACCGTATAGTCTATGATAATGAGCCAACGGAGATACTGTGGCTGAGTGAGCAGAAACTGCAAGCGAAGGAGATAAGCTCTTCATCGTCGGTCTCCCACGTAGTTCGAAAATGACCATTATTCAACCTGTTAGGCAAATACATCTTACGATGGGGTAAACAGGCTACCTGTTCCAACCACTTTGATCCCCTTGGCGAACGAAGGACGTGCCGTCATGTCGAAGAATTCATGCCAGTGGCTTTAATACGTTAGCTTGATGAATCTTAACTAGATTCTCATTATGATGATAGTAATGCATTAATATTTTTTGCTTCCATGGCTGCCTTGCATGTATAGAAAGCATCATGTAGATACTTTACCCTGCTACATTTTTTGCTCACTTCTGACTCAACCATATTTCTTAAGTAAAAATTATCTCAAGTTTAAACAAGATATGAAAAAATTCTTAACATTTCGATTTTATATTTTTTGAGTTACATATACATATTATCGTCTTTACATACTGTCATTGTATATGAGCAATTTTATTTTTAAATAAATTTAATCATCATATATGAATGTAAACTTCATTTCAATCGGCTCTTCTCTTCGTTATTAACAAATTCGACACTCATGACAATGATCCAGCCTCCGCTGGGTAAGGATTGTTAAAAATTCTTTC